TTGTTTGTCAGTTGCTTTGTAAATTATCTCTTGTATTAGGCATCTGGTTTTCAGTATTCCCTATAACATCATGGTTTGCTAATGTACAACCCACCACTCATCAACACATTAATATCCTAAAAAATAGCAGGGAAAGTGAACAGGCCTGGAATAAATTCTCTAAACAGATGGGCAGAGATATGATACATCCTGCTCTACATAATATTGCTGATATTCTGCAAAATATCATTGAATGCTGTCTGCATGCTATAATTCCAGTTCCATCATTAAGCATTCTGACTGTCAATCTGACCTATTTTGCTTTTTTTTCTCTGTTGTGTAGATACGGATTCATTTAGTCGTACCACCATCCAATCCAACTGGAGGAGCAGGATCAACCCCAACATATTGTAGCCTAGGCTACCACAAAGACTAGCTGCCTGGGGCACAGTTTCAAATCCTTCCCAGCATCAGTTTGCTAAGCAGTGAATTAAAGTTCTGTGGGCAAACAGACAGTCCACTCGGCATCTTTGATTGTTGCAGCATTAGAAGTCTATTGAGATAACCAGTCATGCTGCAGAATAATAGGGCAGTGCTGAATTATGAAGGCAGAATTATGGAATGAGATCCTTGATAGGTAAGGAGAGATGTAGCGGATAAACAGAAGAATCACCAATGAGCAGTTGGTTTTCCACCCCCACCCCCCATTGCCCACTTTCCTCTGATTGGAACGAAGCATCCTGTTGAAGAGTAGAGCTCTGCACATGCAAAAGAGGCTACTTCAAAGCAAGATAAATGGGGCAAGACAAGACCTTGGGAAGTGTTCTGTATATAGCCAAAGAGAGAGTTAGAACAACTCACCCTTCTATCCAGTCAGAAACTTAAAGGTGCTCCGAGCTTGCCCCACATCCTCCCATGCAAAGCATGAAAGAAATTCCCACTGAGCAACTGTTCTCTTTCGCGATGACTCATGTTTAAGCTTTTGTCCAATTTGAAATGAAAGGAAACTTTGTAAAACTCTCCACGTAGCTGTGCCAGCATGGCTTTCCCATGAAAGATTAACCTGAATGATGGAAACAGTCCCACTTTGCAAATGGGTACAGTCTTATGTATCTGTTCAGGATGGAGGTCCCATGAATGATTGACTTCCTGGTATATCATGCAATTGCTAAAATGATATATGGGAGCAGGGATGTCTAGCAAAGTCTTGCCATAGCTGGAAATCTACAGTTTGTGAATACTGGAATCCCTAAGAAAGTATTCTCATATCTTAGTGATATAGGGATGGGATTAGGCAAAAAAAAAAATAATGTAATTTTCTCCACAATAGCTCTTCAGAACCAGATGAGTCTTCCTGACTTCAATCTGAATTGGCTTTATGACATTGTCATGTAGCCTAATTGAATCCAACATGTAGAATTCTAATAATAATCACATTAATAATATGATTCATTCACTGGCTGGTCATCTCTGAAACTTCTGAATTCAGGGAAAGGGATGGAAAATAAGCAAGGAAATAGAATGTTGCCAAAGTCAGAATAGCAGAAAAATCTGACTTTAGGACTGTAATAAATTATTATTTCATTTGATTTGAATAGCAGAAAGGAATAAAAACATTTTTGTCTACAGAAAAAATGGGTGTTGGGATGAGAAAATAGGTCAAAGTAGGTGGTGTCTGTTTGTGTGTGTGTGTGTGTGTTTTAAGACAATATTTTGAGCCTTCAATACATCCCTGTCATTTGCAACTTCCTTTATTAAACTATCACATAGACATTTTCTCACCTTAGTCTTAATGCAGTTGCTTAAAATCCTCATTTTACTGTACCTTTGTGACTGCAATTGTTATTATTAAGAAAAAGAATTATGATTGACACCTTTCCCTTTTAATATCAATTCTGAACATTTCTGACTAGTTGGGGTACATCTAAATTTTGTACTGGTTTAGTCCAATTGTGGATTAGATTACCAATGTAGATATCAACTTTAGATATTATGTAAACTATCCTACAATTTATACACTTTTGTAGATGTGATTCTGGTTTGGCTCAGTGCTGATATCCTTGCTCACTTCAAGCTGCCCAACAAAAAAATTCCTATTACCTTCCTTAATTTCCATCTTCCTTTATACTAACATTTCCAAGAATTCAATTTCCTTTGTTCTTCCAGTTATAGATCTATGAAACCAAAATCTTAGTACCCATTTTTTCCCCATTACGTTCCAAATTCCTACCAATTTGAATTCAGTTTTCTTATTTTCTAATTGTAGTGCAACCAACTGGATTAACTATCCATGAAGCAAAACTATTTCACTAAGGGAAGGAGAAGAAAACATTTAACATTCCTTTAAGTGAAGGCTTTTATACCCACGCTTTTAGAAAAGTAGTAAAGAACATAAATTGAGAAATATTTGTTTGGTGCCTTGCCATTTTCTACTGCTAGAAAATTGTGATGTCCCTGACTGTAGAGTGCATTTGGAGCAAATACCAGGCCCCTTACAATTTAGGATTTTCATATTTGTTGTGGTGACAGCCATAAAAATCTTCAAAGGCAAGATTCTCTCCATGAGCTGGATTCCTCTAGGAGGGGCAAGCCTAGCTATGTAATTAGGCTTAAGCAGAGAAAGAGAGAGCTGTCCCTCCCTATCCACCCAACTTTTATTTTATTTTTTTATTTGTTTGGAGACCCAAGCTATGAACACCAAAGGAACACTAGGGCCTCCCAGCGCAGTCCTCATTATACAGAAAACAGCAACAGCACAGCAATTGTTTATTTATTTGTAGTGTATATCAGTGACTATGGTTTTACATCATCTGTTTTTGCTTTTGTGATTTTTATTATGAACAGAAAATTGAAAATATGCTGTCATTTATGTGAGTGTGTGCATGTATATATGAATGATATATACATATATTTGGTGCCTTCACTGTAATCTGGTTTTGTCATGATCGTATAGTTGTTTTATTGTGTTTCATATTATTTTAATTACAGTTGCACACTATCCTGGTTATAAAGATAAAAGGCAGAGAGATTTTTAGAAATGTGAATGTAGATTAAAGAACATCATTGCATGCTAAGACTTAATGTCAAATTAGTGTCTGCAATTGCTCAGTTTAGCTCTGGCAAAAGATAGTACATAAGGAAACTTGATTTTAATTCTATCACATTATGAGCTAAGGATTGTAAAGTAACTTTTTAGGGCTTCAGCCTGCATTTTTTTCCTGGTCTTCAGTAACAATAGAGAATATGACAGTAATATGGCTCATTAAAAGAGGTGATGTGAACAGAACTTTTGTTCCTGCGTCATTTGATTTTGATTATTGAGAGTTTGTATTTTAAAATAAGAACAGTTATTATTTTCGTTATCCATTTTCCTATTAAGTATAAAAAAAACCCAGTTTCAGTGAAAACTTTAAAAAAGAACTCTACTGCTTCTGGATGTCTGCAAGAGATCAAAAAATCAAAATGGAAATCATAACCACATGACCCTTTATATGTGCACGTTCCCACAATCCCACAATTTAGCAGTTAGAAAGGAACACATAGTGATACATGCATAAAAGAGCAGGTCTTTGATCACGTGGACTTCTTTGACCTTCCCATGGACGTTCCTGTTCTGCATCATTTACTCCAGCCATGAAAACATTTTTCCCTTTTGTCCATGGCTGTCTCCCACTTCATTACCAACCAAGTTTTGGGCGAAAAGAAAAACATATATAACAACAGAGGAAAATCACTAGCATGGACATATTGGACCTGTGTGCACAGTATACAAACACCCCAGCTGGAAAATTCATTAGCAAATCAAGATACATCTGAGACCTTTTGCTTTGCTAGGCATGAATAGACCACAGGGATATGCTGAGAATACCTCCCTACTCCATATCAGAAGCATATCTGCCCAGAGGAAGGCTTTCTCATTTGTGACTCTTGTCACTTTTGCTTTGCTATTCATGCCTAGCATGAATAGACCACAGGGATATGCTGAGAATACCTCCCTACTCCATATCAGAAGCATATCTGCCCAGAGGAAGGCTTTCTCATTTGTGACTCTTGTCACTCTGGAACAGCTTGACTTAGACCTATTTTCCTCCAGGTGTTACTGGGCACTTAAGGTCTGGATGCTGGAAACTGACAACATCTGAAGGCCAAAGGTTTTCCCCACCCCATAGGACAGTGGCCTCCAACCTTTTGGGCACCATTTGGGCACCAGGGACCAGTTCCATGGAGAAAGGTTTTTCTGTGGCCTGGAGGGGGTGTGTAGTTTCATGTGCTGCCTGCATCTCATGGATAGGGCTTCATTATTTGTGCGGGCCAGTTTCTGGCATGCCGTGGCCCAGTGCTGGTCCACGGACTGGGAGTGGGGACTCTTGCTATAGGACATAGTATCAGTGAGTCAGTAGCTTTTCCTTCACAACTTGGTTCTGCACAAAAAACCCTAAGGACAAAAGAAAATTCTAGCCTCACATTCTCTTCTAGATATTGGATTTTCAACATTTTATACTTTTTACCCATTGAGAATACTCAGATATTGTAGCAGCAGGGGTGAGCCTTTAGAGTAAAAAACTGGAAGCCTCATCATTCTGCCCCAGAAACCTTATAAAAGCAAACTTACACACCTTAGTTCTACTTCCTTCTTTGGAAAAGTAATTAGTAATTAGAGTTTCTACCACCTACATTCCAAGAAATGCTTTTAGCTGGGATCCTTTCTCCTAATCTCAGCAGGTGAGAGAAATAGAACATGTATAGTCTTTGTGATTCATTGGTAAATAAAAGGGGAAAAAATATTAAATCAACCTTGTGGCACTTTGTTCTGTATGCTGGCATATGTGACTAGGGAAATTGGTCATCCCACCCTGCCATTCCCTTTGAAATAATGGGTAATGTTTACCCATTGAGAACATTCAGATATTGAGCCTTTAGAGTAAAAAACTGGAAGCCTCGTCATTCTTCACCAGAAACATTATAAAAGCAAACTTACACACCTTAGTTCTACTTCCTTCTTTGGAAATGCTTTTAGTTGGGATCCTTTCTCCTAATCTCAGCAGGTGAGAGAAATACAAGATGTATAGTCTTTGTGACTCACAGGTAAGTAAAAGGGGGAAAAAAATTAAATCAGTCTTGTGGCACTTTGTCCTGTAAGCTGGCATATGTGACTCGGGAAATTGGTCATCCCACCCTGTCACCATCCCACCCTTTGAAACATAGTTTAATCTCCCAAGATGTAAATAGAATAGAACTTTATCAAGCATGCCACAGACTGGAGATATAGTAATGAGCAGAGAAAATAAAATAGATTTAAACAGGCCCAGTTAAAATAAAAAGAAATCTTTTATTGTACAGTATGTCTATCTAAACCGGTTACCTGTTTCTTAGAGTGATATGATCCCTGACATTTCCCTGATAATTTAAGAGGCTTCCTTCCCCTCCCCCACTAACTTCTCAATCTTACCCAACACTTCCTGCTCTTTTTTCACAAAATTTAGTTGCAGCTTTTAAAAGAACAAAAGTTCTACCACTTAGAAAAGGAAGGATGGGGGGGGGGCTGACTTTCTAGCCAATTGTCCCTCGTGCATATATAGATGGGGGAAAGTCTATCTGACAAGTCGCGTATTGGAAAAGCCTGAGCTGTCAATGAATGTGGGGATGAAGATCTGGTGTATGTTCTTTTTAGATAGGCCTGGCCTGTACATGTGAACTAAAAAGTTTTTCAAAGATTTTCTCGCCTTCCATGCAAGAAAAGGCAATTTTAAGTTAACTGCGTAAGTTGGCACTATAATTGTATCTGGAAGAAGACACAATGTGTTGTGGCACCTTGGAGACTAACTGGCTTTCATTTTTTCATAGCTGAAGGGTGGAGCACTTGACAGAGAATTCCACATTGGAACCCAGCAAAGACAACCATTGTCAATTTAGCTGACTTTGTTGGGGAGAATTAATATTTTCCAGGGCTTTATAGCTCAACAGGAATGGTTGTAATTATGTTGTACTGTGTTTGTTGGTAAGGACATGTGGAAAGATCAGCCTTAAGAATCTTACTCATGATGTTCCCTAGAGGATTACACCACAGTCGTTCCTAGTGTCCCTCCCCTCCCTTTCACCACTTTTATTTCATTTCAATACATCAAAGTTTAACATGCAAAAAAAAAAAAAATCCCCTAGAAGTATGTGAGCACCAACTGATTCTAGTAAATGTGCTTTGTTTAAAGAGTCAGGAAATACGGAGGAGGCATCTTGATCATTTATTCATTCATTCATTCTTTGATTTATTTTCAAGGTCCAACAGGGAAAATCTTGAGAAGGGATGATTTCGGACAAACATATTTCCTCCTGAATGTAATTGGCCTGCTATTGAAAAGAAGACAAGAAGATGGTCAGGCTGGTATGATTAAAACTACTTCAGTAGCGTTTAGTTTGTTAAAAAGAAAGGAAAGAACACAGCTCTGCAAAGTTATGCTAGATAAAGAAGAGTAGAACTGATGGAGACGACTTTTAGGGCAAATAGTTGCATTTCCATTATACTAAAATAATATGGCATCTACACTGTAAATAGAAGATGCATATTTAATGATTGTGATCTCAAATGCTGAATATGAAACCATCATATATTAGTTACAATTGGACAAACTTTTCTTTACAGAAGACTAGAACTCTCTCATTCCCCCTCTCATCAAAATAATTTCATCATTCTGAAGTTTCCCCTTGAACAAAGCTAAGCCCATGAATGCTGTTTTACTATGGTTCCATCCAAATTCAACTAAACAAAATCTGTAGCTGCATATGCAAAGCACATGCCCAGGGTTACATTAGAAAATCTTGGGAATAAATCAGTTCTATGAATGAGTAGTAAAAGGTCCTGCCAAAAATGGATCACAGCAAACCATAATAGGTAGCTTTCAACGATACATGCATTTTATGAGCCACAGTTGGATACTGGAACTTGATTAGAAAAATGAAGGCATGATTCAGACTTCGTTCATTTCCTCTTTAAAGAGGAAGGATGTGAGGGAAACTCAAGAATGGGGGAAAGGCAAGGAACTGTAGAATTGTGAGATAGGCTGAGCTGCAAGTTACACAACAAAAAGGCATTTCCTGCACATGAAGCCCTTTCTCTTTCTAACTTTTGCTCTTTTTTTTTTTTTACTCTGAACTATCTTTTCTCAAAACATGGAAAAAGAATCCTCCAATTCTCAACATCCACTTATTTTTTATTTAAATACACATAGGTTAAATTATGAAGTTTTCTATATAGTATAGCACGCATTACAAATTTCAAACATGGTTTTCCAGGCTTAGGGAGATAGCATTAAAGTAAAAATCAGGACTTTTGAAGACATTTTGCCAAGAGTTCCAGTAAGCCTTCTTCAGCACAATGGTCCAGAAGTAGGGATTGCCTTGTGGTTTTTATGGAATTTCAGTTGCGTGAGGTTGGTTAATGATTAGATGCTTCTTGGGAAATCACTAATGCTGTCATCTTAATGCTTCCCAGTCAAAAGCTGAAGTGGAAGCATTCTAACAGTGCAGATCAACTGTAGGAACAAATGCTCTGTTGCTCTTTCCTGAGGACAGAATTGGGAGGGGAAATGAGCCAAAATATTAGCAACAACTTTATTTAAAGCACTTCATCAGTAGAATGATCCAAATTGTATTGTATGAGAGAAAGGCAAAAAAATTTACCACATCCACTATCTCCACACATATTTTTGACACAAACGTACCTGCAACACGTGATGTATTTTATAACTTTAAAAATTCTTATTCTCTTGAATATCCATACAAAAAAAACCTAACACATTTGTAAGAGTTGATTTAGATCAATCCTTGCAGCTCTTCCATGATTGTATGATTCCTCTGATATAGAGACATATTATAACATTAGCAATTTAATATATGGTTCATTTAAGAATTTTCACGCCTACTAACTAGTTCATGTTCCATTGATGCATTATTTTAGCTTCATATTTATTACATAGCCCATAAACTGAATACAGTGTATATAAAGATTATTTTATTTTCAGAAAAGTAACCTTAGAAGTAATGACTTGCCCCCAATCATTCTGAGTTTCATGATCTTCTGTCACTGTTATTTTCCTCAGTTTTTCAGTCTCTTTAGAAAATGTTGGTTGAAGTACAAATACTTGGTTGATAATTTCTGTAGAGAAAACATGCTTCTCTACAGTCTATCTTCATTTAGTGATGCTTTAACTTCCTTGTTTCCATGGTTCAGCTTCTTCCCTAGCCAGTTTCTTGCTTCTGATGTACATAAAACTTTTTAATTTGTTGGTTTCGTTTTTTTTCAGCAAAACACTAGCTATCCTGAATCTTTATGGTCTTCTTGCCTTTTTTTGCTTGTGTTACATTTCTTTTTGCTTTTTTCTTGCCAAACTTCCACTGATGAAGAAAGTTTCCTTTTATTAAATAGTCTTCTTGACAGTGCTCCTTGTTAATAAAACTCTGATCTCTGAATTTTACTCTACCTTTTCTAGACTTATGGAAAACAATTTCCAGTGAGGTTGTTTTTAAATCGTGCACATACATTCTGGAAGAGTTTTGATACTCTTGATTTATCTTTCTCATTTTAAAGGAAATTTTTCTTTTAAGGTAAAATACAACTATGCTGGATTTCCTTTATTTATCTAAAATACTATAATTTTGTTTTATTACTCCGTTATAATTTATTTCAGTTGAAGAACACGTGTAGCTAACCCTATTAATGGCGTAGCTCCCACAGCCAGTGGTGGGATTCAGATATGTGAGCAACCAATTCTCTATGTGGATGCTGCTTCTGGAAATCCATTCTGGGTCTGGGCAACAAAAAATTAGTTACCGGTTCTGCCAAACTGGTGCAAACCAGCTGAATCCCACCAATGCCCAAAGCCCTCCAATGGGTGGGCAGGAAATTAGCCTGATTTTGACAAGGGCTTGGAGGCAAAATAAATATCTGTAGCTTTACAGATGCCTATAGCAGTGGCCCCCAAGCTTTTGGGCATCAGGGCCTGGTTCCGTGGTGAGAGGTTTTTCTGTGGACCAGAGGGGGCGTCGTTTTGCATGCTCCCTGCATTCCGCGGATGGAGCTTCACTGGTTTGCGTGATTTCTAGCATGCTGTGGACTGGTGCCAGTCCACAATTCGGGGGTTGAGGACCCCTGGCCTATAGCATCCATGTTACCCATTCAAACCAACCAGTGGTGGGATTCAAATATGTGAACAACCAGTTATTTGTGTAGATGCCGCTTCCGGAAGTCCATTCTGGGCCTGGGCAACAAAAAAATTATCTGAATCCCACCACTAAAACCAACTCTATCACAAGTAAGTCTTGGTCTGTTCACTTAGGCAGTGGTCCTCTACACATCATGAAAAATCTGATCACTCCAATGTAAAAAATACCAACAGAATATGTGAAGCTCAGGGTTCAACTATGAAGTCCTTGGTGCTCTCTGAGCTTGATCATTTGTTTGCAGACGTTTCATTGCCGGATTAGGAAATATCATTAGTGCTGCTGACGTTACCTAGTTGGATAACAAAACATTTGCAAGCAAACTATAACTCAGAGAGCACCAAGGACGCCAAAGTTATGCAAGCCTGTTTTAAATGGAGCAGAAAAAGTATCATATCACTCATCACACAAAGGCTAGGGGAGGTTAAACACTCCCATCCCATCCCTGCTTTAATTCTGAACTTCTCTTATTCCAAATGGGAAGTGAAAATAAAGGAAAAGCCTCCTTTGTGTTGTGGTTTTCAGTCACTAAGTCATGTCTGACTTCGCAACCCTATGGACCACAGCACACCAGGCCCCTTGTCCTCCACTGTCTCCCGGAGTCTGCCCAAATTCATGCCCACCTTATCTAACCATCTCATCTGGTCCCGGTGACTGACTCAGATTGGATCCTGCAACATTATCCTGGGACATGTATATTCGCCTTCAATCATCTCATCCTCTGCCGTAGTGGGAAATAAAGATATGAAAACCGAATGATAAGCCATATATCTGTGAGGAGATTATTTTTTCTAAAGTGAATGGAAGACAGCAAAAAAAAAGGAGAAAATGCCTTCTAGGCAGAGCCCCCCCCTTTTTGACAAAATATGTTTATGTTTAAAATAAGTAAAATATAGTAAATCCTTGTGTTCACTAATGGGCTACCTTGGAATCCTCTAAGCTGCCTGTGGGCTCAACCCTATCAAAGTTCAGCATTTTAAAATCTCATTGATTACGAAGGAAACCACAAAACAGTTAAATCAGCCAAGCGTACTTGCTTTGGGATGTTGTGTCTTCTTGTATTCATGTGATTGTCTGCTTCATGGTCATTTATTGCAATTTCAGTCAATTGGTTTTCAGTGCTGCACCTCTTCTGACTTTATAGAATAAGGCCTAGACAAATATATGTGTGTCACAGAAGATCTGGTGGAGGGGCTATTGCTGTGGCTATTTCCTGTTTGGCTGATTCATTCCCACAGCCTCTTTCACTGAACTGTAACTCAATCACCGTGCGATAGCCACAGATGAAGGGAATGATAGAAATACACAGGCAAACCTCTTTCCTTTCAAATGGCAGCCTTTCACCCCATCGTTTATGCAGTCACTCCTGCTCACAGCTGAACCATCGGATTGCTGGGGGATAAGAGGCAAATATATCTTCTACAGTCTCCAAATGAATTCTCCATTATATGTCCATGCTATATATGATGCAAGAATGGGTATAAAAATGAATAGCAGTTACTTAATGACAAGAGCTCTCATTCTCTCTCTGTCTCTTTGTGGCTAAAAAAGCAAACACACCAGAGTCATATTGTAATTTTCATTTTTTTCCCTCATTGTCTAGAGAGGATTAAACCCACTGAAAAAAGAAAGATTGATTCCCATCTGGAAATGAGCATGTGATGGCCAACTTTTTTTTTTTTTTTTGCAAAGAAGCAACTCAGGAAGTTGAAAGAGTAAAAAAGAGGAGGGGGAGAGAGAGAACACAGCAGACTAGAAGGTAGGGAAGAAAAAGGATATGTGTCATTTGATGCCTGCATGGCACTTGATGAAACAATCAGAATAAGCAGTCAAGATATGGATTCCATATTTAGGCACTGGTCAGAATTCTGATCAAGAAGTTAATTTCCATCACTTACAAGGATGTCCCTGTTTCTTAAGGCTAATTTGTGATTCCAATTTTGGAACTTCTTAGGAAAAGCACAGAGCAAGAGATACCTTGCTGAAGTAAAGCTGATCTGCTCTTGTAGGTAAGGGGCAGTTACATCATTTTAGACTCTGATTTAAATAAATGTATTGTGAAAAGCTGTTTAGAAGGTAATATGTATCATTTTCCTATTTCTCTAAAATAGACATGTCAAACATAAGTCTTGGGGGCCGGATGCGGCCCGCAAAGTGGTTTCATGT